ATTGCAACTCGACAAAAAGCCCTTGAGAAGCTTGAAAACTCTTACACAACCACCTCGTATGTAGAATCAAAGTACTGACAAGCGAACGTTACAAGGAATTATTAGGCACCCATTCGGCGTCAGTAGGTGAAACTAACAAGGTACAAGTCAAAGGTGCGAATGGCCGCAGCGGGGAGCACGAATTTACCGGATCGACGTGTGTCCAGGTAGATAAGTTGCGGTAGCCATGGAGGTTGAAGGAAATGTTTCATTCCAGCGTGATGCAATCATCTTCCGAAGATTTTGGGGCGTCTTTCTTCTGGAATACAATACATTTATTGCCTGTCTTTCCAGGATATTTCAGCAAATTAGCTTATTTGTGCGCAACACAACAGGAAGCAGGCTGTTCTCAAGTAAAGTAGTGTAGCGTTCCCTTTGGAAGTAAAAAAAAAGTTAAAAACCCTAAAACAAAGATGTTACACGGAAAATGTGGTTTGAAAACAAAACTTCGCAAACCCTTACCAAAATGAGATAATCGGGTACAAAAATTATGCTTAAAAGCTAACTTTTGTAGTGCCGTTTGACGCTGATGCCGAATCCGCAGCTGGAGTTCCTGCATTTTTGTCAGTAGCTCCCTTCGGATGATTTGCATTCAAATGAGTTTCCAAAGTAGTGTAACTGCTACATTTGAAAGAACATACATCGCAAGAATACCTGAAAAAAGTGTATTTCAAAATGACGAGAACTTTGGAACTCTCAAATTTAGTCACTCACATAATTTCAGCCGAGCACAGCTTTATGTGGTGGTCAGCCACCAAATGTTGCAACATATTGAAAGCGTATTGCTGAAATAACAAATTCCAGCCATGTCTAAATTTTGTGATGACTGCTGATGAGTTCGAACCTTAGCACACAGTTTACATCTTCCGCCATCAAGTTTGTTCTGCGCTTTCGCCAAAAGGATCGGCAGTGACCAGTCCATGAGCCATTACCTAAATGCAGTCATTCAGCACAGAATACTTATTGTTTAATAGAGTCGAAAAACAGTTGCGGAGATAACGAACAAGATGGCGCTCAAGTCCTTCGTATGTCCAAAACCGTTCACGACATCGGCTACAGGCCAATGGAGCTCCTAATTTTACATCGTCCAAAGTCTTGTCCCGAAGATGTTTGTGAATCAGCTGAGGTGACAAAAAAATTAGATGACAGGAAAAATAAAAAAATGGGTGCTTTCTGAGCAGCGTCACCAACCTGCAAATGCTGAAAGTAACGTTCGCGGTCGACCATATTTTGATCGCAAATTTCACATATTCCAGGACCGCTACCAGCATTTGTGGAATTTCCCAGAGCATGGCCTGCACCAGTGGACGTGGCTGCACCCGACGCTGCAGCCGTTGAAAGACCACCATTAGCCATAGCGAGGGCTTTCTGCATAGCGACAGTGTTCATCTGAATCATGCTCCTTTTTCTGGCCCGTTTTCAGTCATATGCAAATTAACTTCTATTTTCCATTGGCCAAACATGATCCCCCTCGTTACCATGCATTACGGGCGGCCAACCTGAGTTTTACCTTTTTTGACATAACTTAATGAAGTGATTGCGTCCCATCACTAGATAACAGAAAAATTTCCCAAATTAAAAAAACCCATGCAGCAGATTTGAAAGAAACCTGTCTGCTGCCAAAGCGATTTAAAGACCTAATTGACGTCAACAAAATCGATCAGAGATGGGATTGACTATGTGAGTGGTAAGCTCCTCTTGACACATAATCACCCTTCGCAAAAACACTGCCGGTTTCTCCACCACACCATAAAACCCTTTAGAAGCGATGGTAAGCTAAACAAGACTGGCAAGTAGTGGCACCACACTCACAGGGGGTCCTTTTCTCAAGGCAGATGCATTTGCAAGGAGAGCATTGCGACTTGCAGCAAGGTTCTTCTGATACAATGCAGTTGCAGCAGCCAAGGAGCCAACAGTAGTCGCCGCGGTAGTTGATCCACGCTGTTGGTTGGCACGTTGAATGTGCTGTTGCATGGCTAAACGGAAAACATTAAACGTCATCCCTAAAAAAAACCGCACCTTTCTACGAATATGCTGAATTCTCAAATTACCTTCACCTCTAACATTAAAACAATTTTGTTTGTGAAAGAGAATCCGAATTGGCGAAGAAGAACAAAACATTCAAAACGGATACGACAGAAATGGGGAATTCATAAACGCGATGATCAACGCTAACGATCTTGCAATTCTGCGATCTTCCGTAGAGCAAATACCTACAGAGCTGGCAGTTTGCAGGATCGATACTCATCCACTCCCACTCGAATAGCAGAATCCGACCTGGAGGGCGATCACAAACTATGACGAGCCTTACAGAGCTGTAATTTTTTACGAAGGTTCGACGAAGTATGCAAATAAGAAGTTAATCCTTCTATTATATAAAGCGCTAACTTTGTGTGTCGGTTTGTGTATCTGTATGTGTGTGTGTGTGTGTGTGTGTGTGTGTGTGTATGTATGTGTGTCCGTCCGCAAAATGAAGTGAGTGAGAAGGAAGCTCATGGGATAAACAAACCGCTAACAAATCGGGTAGCTTACAGGATTTGAGATATCAATGTTTTGTAGCAGGATAGTTGTGATAACACTCTTAGGGCTATATAAACACCTGCTTAGCACACTTCCGTTCATTCCACATGGTGCTGCAGTGGCAGCTGGAGGGCAGTGGAGAGAGGAGAGGATGAGGAAGGGAAGCGAAAAATCTACCGTCATATCATGATTGTGTCCCTTCTACTGTATGAAACACCATTGTGTTGCATACGCGTCACTTCCAGGAGGTGTTGGTGTCACAGGAGGAAGGGACCATAGCGGAGGATAGAAAGCTTGCGCAGGAAAGGAAGGTCCCGGCGGTTGACGGGGGACTAATCTGGTAATATAAAATAGCCTGAGCAATTCGGAAAGGAGTTAAATTTCAGCGACAACGCGCAAGCTTTGGATGAAGCAAAATGATCCCAATTGATTCCTAGTCCTTGGGAAATGCAAATCCATAAGAACACGAACCTGCAATGAGACTGTTACCGCTTTGGCCAATCATGTTTCGTTGCTGCATCATCGCAGCTGCCTACAAAACGTTTCGATAGCAGTATGAATTCACATTGCAAAAATGCACTGAAACTAGACAATTACCTGCCGCATACGTTGCTGTTGTTGCAAAAGTTGCTGTTGTAGGGCATTCTGCTGTGCATCACGGACAGCAGCTGTACGACGTAACGCTGCCTGAGCCACAGCTTGCTGAGCTTGCGCCAATTGATTCCGCTTCTACAATTACGAATTACAACACACTCTACTGACTGACCTTCACTATTTACGCTCACTTCACGCCTACTATTTAGGACTTTCAAATCCATGCATTAGCTCGCTAAAATCCTACGCGTTTTTGACTGCCAAGTTGCTACTGAGAATTTTCAACGAATTTGTTACATTCTTTACAACGTTACAACAAATGGATGCAAGTGACGATAGCAAGTCGCTGCCGCTGAAGTGAGATATTCTCTCACGTGCACGCCGCAACTAAACGCAAAGCTGGTGCACTATATGGTTCACTAGGACAAAAAGCGACTTCTACGCGTTTCCGCAGCGCGAATCATTTTTCGCTGAGGGGACCTCAGATCCACCTTTGATCATGAGGATTTCCTGAAGAAAACATGAGGTTCTCGAATCGAATGCGAAAAAGTCGTATTCTGCCCTAGTGAACCACACCCCACTAATCACCTGCGCATACCGCCTCCCCATAATGTAAAATGTTCAACGCATAGCCGTGCCGTGTGGTCAAGCGATCTCCTTGGGCTCAATCAAAAGGGCTTTGCGAAAATGTCATAAAGGAGGGAGTGATAGAAGCGCCCCATGCTGCACGATGTGCGATTGTCACGTATGTCTGGAGGTGAATTGAATGGTCCCACTCGTCCAGTGCAGGATGCAAGTGCAGCCGTATTTCCAACTAAGCCGTCATTCGAAGGTTGGCGCGTGGCCACGTAATGCGCAAAATCTGGTAAGGCTAGTGAGATCCACATCTAACTGTGGTTATTTCCAAATAGCAAGATAAGAAAGCTCGCTAGTGGGCACTGTTCCTCGGGTTGTACATTCTTCAATTCGGTAACGGTGATACCGAAAAATTCCCAAAATCGCAGGGTTTAATTTTATTGGTACACCTTGTGCAAGATGATGGTGAATGAAATCATCTCCAGATGGAACCGGCGTTTTTATAGCACACATTAGGGGAAAATTTCACGCTTTTGCTTTAGCTGTTCCTTTTTCCTAAGCTTGCTCCAAATATGGTAGAGGCTCGTCACCTGAGTGAGAATTTATCTTAGATAATACATAGCAAATCTGAATCTTGTCATCCCTTGTGCCAATGGACCGTTCGAAAACGATCACACAAAACCTGACTACAGCGTGCATAGCGCGACGAACTGGACGCTTTCATAGTCGGTCGACCGATCGTTATGATCCTAAATCGTACGGTCGCATAGGCGACGCGGTGACCCAGTGCAAGCCCAAACAACACGTGACTTCGCGTTACGGTATTTCGAAAGTCCGATTGTTCGAGTGTTGAATAATATATGCGTATCGATCGTCCGACACACGCGATCGTAAAATTCGGAGGTCAGATGATCGATACATATCCGATGTTGTACGATCGCCATCGTAACGATCGAACGACCGATATGAATGCGCTTTATGTAGGGGCTACACCTTTTAATATATGCTAGTGCTTAAGTTACAGAAACCTGTTGCTGTTGAGCTGCCTGCTGCTGCTGCAAAATTGTAGGATCGATTGGAGGTCGCTCCCATAGCCAGCGGTTAATCATCAGCTGATCATCAGGGCCCTACAATTGTCATGGAGATAGTTCGACTGGAACTAAGAAATTGATAATTGTCATCCACTTGCCTTTGGGCCCATAATATTTCTGACACGACTATAATCTTTCTTGCAAGTTCGCAGGTGGGTATCTCGGAGCCCCTTGTACTGGAAGTCCTCATCACAGATCAGGCAAGGATACTTTGCTTGTGCCTCGTCTTTCGAAGCAATCACCAGGTGAGATTCTCTGAATTCAAAATTATTATACAAAAGTAAAAACCATTTTACTGCCCCGTTCTTAATTAACAACGTACAGATAATGATTGATGAGTCGCTGTTCATTCGTGTCAAACTCGGGACACATAGCGCACTGATATTTGCCATTTTTGAAATGTACAGTGGATCGATGTGACTGTAATACCATTCGAGACTCAGTCTTGAACCCGCAAACCTGCAAAAATTTGATGTCTTCAAAACACCGCTTTGATAAAGATAACTGCTTATGCTCTTGTACAAGATTGGAAATAAAGGAATCTGAGACTTATTCTTATTATTAGTATTTCTGGGAAACTCTATTCTCTTCCAGATGAAGCTTACTGAAACTCCAAATCCCGTGGAAGGCGAAACACTTCTTGACCAAAAATAACTGCGGGCCCTTGAGTGGTATTGAGGAACAAGGAAACCTTACCATTAGTGACGTGCATACGTATTAAGTTAGCATTCCATTCATAAAAAACAAAATGACGAATCAGAAACCCACTTGACATGACAACATTTTCATTTTGTATGGTTCATTCCTTTTCCGGAGAGCTTCCCATACAGGCTTGAGTTGAGCGGCAACCTTTAAAACAGAAATGAGTGACTGGAAAGGCCAATAGCACTCATAGAAATCAGACTTGGCTCTGCCAATTAACAATAAGAATAGAAAAGAATTGGGATAATGTATTGCGGACCGTGAGCTCCAACATGTACAGCACACACATTCATTTCCGTGGCCAAGCCACACGATGCCACGAGAAAGAAATTAATTTTTGCTTCTTAGCAAGCAATTTTGACCGGAAGCTGTAACGTTATGCTTTGTGATATGTATATGGAACAGACCACCGTGACTTTGTCGTCTGAAGAAGTGTTCAAACACCACACTTTTCAGGAACACATATAACTAACAAAGTTTAACGGATTATCCATCAGCACAAATATTGTTTC